GCTGTTTCATGATATGCTATTTAATCCTTCCTGTGTGTTTATTGTTTTATTCAAGTGGTATTGATTGCATGTTCTTTGCTACTAAGACATAATAACCTTTTTATATATTTTCAACAAGTGCCTCTGGTTGTCTTTGCCTGAACATTAGCTTGAATCTAACCTCTGCCAGGTCAAGAGCTCCCCTTACCTTCAGCGTGTGGTCATTTTATTGGTGCTGGATATTAATGGTAATTACATTACTATTGAATTTTAGTATTGATAATTAAGCCTAGTTTTCCCATTTTTGTTGAATATTGTAATCATTCATTTATAAAATAAATTTTGATTGTGAGAATTTGGCATTTATGGTGAAACATTAATGAGACTTAGTCATTCAATTGCTATTAATTTTCCCTTTACTAGAAGGGTGGTGCCCCAAGGAACTTTAATTATTAAATTAAAGTCTTAATAAATATTTCACTAATTTATTAGTTATTAATTATATCAAATAGCCATTGTAATGCCCTTTTAAGCTGTTGCACGTACAATGGCTTTGCTGTAGAAGAGTCCGGGTGCTGAAATGGTCGGGGTGCTGAAGTCTGGCTTAGAAGACCCAGGACTGTTGAGCAGCTATAATCCTACATCAGACAAGAGTGGGACAACATCCCTCTTCCAAAACTCCAGCAATTGGTCTCCTCACTTCCTTACGTTTGCAGACTGTTGTTAAAAGAAGAGGGGTACTACAAAATGGTAAACACAGCCAGTCCCAACTTTTTTGAGATGTGTTGCTGCCATCAAATTCTAAATGAGCTAATATTTTTCATGAAATGGTAAAATATCTCAATTTCAACATCTGATATGTTGTGCATGTTCTATTGTGAATAAAATGTGGGTTTATGAGATTTGCAAATCATTGCATTCTGTTTTTATTCATGTTTTACACGTCCCAACTTCATTGGAATTGGGGTTTGTATATTCTATTAAAAAAATATTGTCTTGGGTGTATAGAAGCCAATCAAAAATTCCCACAGAACAGTGTCATTTACAAGACTAGCTAGCAAATATTTGCCGTTTTATGAGTTACAGGAGTTCATATTGAAAAAGATGCTGAATTTTTCTGTCATCATTAAAGCTGGAGTTTGCAATTTATAAAAAAATCACTTTTTGTTAAAACTGTTACTATTACCTGACAGTGGGATGTGAGTCAGATGATCTTTGAGAAAATCAGAGTCATCTGGCTCCATCTAGTGCTTCTAATTCCTTCTGCAAGATTTCACCGCGACCGGGACAAAACAACCAATCAGAGCCAGGATGAGTGACTGACGATGTCAATAATTTCTCGTGCACACGCAGTGGGCCGCCCCTCCCTTACGCTTTTAACCTGTGTCTGCGTCCGGCCTCCGGAGTTTTACCGAAGCAATGAATCAGGGGCGTGGCTTTGGTCAGAGACTTGAGGGGAGGGGGTGGCTTTAGAGGTGAGGCTACATTCAAATCTTGCTCGCTGTTCCAAGATTGCATACTCTAGCTTTAATGTGGATAGGAAAATTCCTGATTGAAATTCAACGAGTAAGAATGCCAGCTAAAAACAAATCTGCCGGTCAGTCCACTGAACAGTCTTTGTAACTGAGCGAATTAATGCAAATTAGAAAAAGTAGACGGGAATCGGTTTGGAGTAATCATGCGTTATTGAACAAAGTTACTGAAGTGTTTAGATGCTTTTGACAGCACGTGACTGAAAATCCCGGGTGGAAGAGGTTAATGGGAATCCTGTCAAATCTAGAAAAGGTGCGTGAAAACTTCCAGAAAACTTTGAACAATCATCAAAACTGGTGAAAAATTATATGTATATTTTATAGGTCTTGCATATGGGTATGGCATAATGGCTCTATCACCTCTCGGGCAAAGTTTCAACAGAGTATCTCTTGCAGTACACAGCAAAAATCCCAGTGTTAATTCAACTCCAGTAGAGTTTATATGTGACCAACCCATCCATCTTGGACTCAAATGCACTCTATTGGAGTTGAATTAACACTGGGATTTTTGCTGTGTATGTTTTATCTAGATTTATGGAATGGCACATCCCATGACTTAAAAAAAAAGTCTCTGGAGCCATGACTTAAACCCAACAGGAAATCAGGAATTCTGAATTTATTGTGAAATTTTGGTGAATTTTTGGCTGTTTACATAGGTCATTGATTGCCTTGCCAAAAAAGTCACACACTTTAATTTTTTGTTGAATCACCTTTAGCTTTGATAATGGCACACATTTCTTACGGCATTATTTCAGCAATCTTTTGCAATGTTACAACATTTATTTTTCACCACAGTTGCATTAATTTTTGCTGAGATCTTGTATTGATGAAGGGAGAGCCAAACCACTCCTTGAATTCTTCTGCAGCACATCTCAAAGACTTTCACTTGGTTAAGATCAGGACTCTGTGGTGGCCAGTTTATTTGTGGAAATGATTCCTCATGCTTGCTGAACCTCTCTTTCAGAATTTTAGCCGATGACTCTTGCACCGTAATATGCCTTTGCCGTCAGGGATTAAAAAATCCATTGATAGGACAACCTGGTCATTAAGTACATTCAGGTAGTCTGCTGACTTCATTTTATTGCTGCATAACATTGCTAAGCTTAGACCTAGCCAAATAAAGCAACCCCAAATCATAACACTGCCTCCAAAGGCTTGTACTGTGGGCATTATTCATGTCATTTGCTTCCTTTCTTACCCTGATGTGCCCATTGCTCTGGAATAGGGTAAATCTGGACTCATCAGACCACATGACCTTTTTCCATTGTTTCACAGTCCAATCTTTATGCGCCCAAGCAAATTAAAATCTTTTTTTTTGTTTACCACAAGCCTCATTAACACGCCACTGTTTCATCCCAATCCTGCAAGTTCTTGTTGCATTGACTGTGAATGTGATAATTCTGTCACTGCTCTGACAATTAAACATAGACATGAGTTCTACTGTTGATTTTTTACAATGATATTTCAGCAAGCATTGGGGTGATTTCTGGTCACAATCATCCATGATTTTTTACCGACCCATTTCTTCTGCAAAGTTGATGATTCACCTCCAGGTTTTAATAATGTGTTGAACAGTTGACTCAATTCCACTGATTTCAACTAACTCTTTAGCTGTTTTCTTTGTTTAATGCTGACCAATAATTTGCTTCTCTTGAAGTACAGTATTATCTTCTCCATGACCATTGAGTACATCTTCCTGCATGGTTGTATTAGAAATGAGATGCTGCATACTGCATCAGTCAGGGTTAAAAGAATTGTCACGAGATGAAACACAATAACGATGACCAAAGCGCAAAATCTCCTATCTGCAGAATTTTTCTGATTGGCGGATTTCACTTTGGATGATGAGAACAAGGAAGGCTGCTCATCCAAAGTGATATCCGCCAATCAGAAAAATTCTGCAGATAGGAGGTTTTGCGCTTTGGTCATCGATAACCTCTGCAGTGACGATTCAAGTTTGGGGGCTTAAGAGCGCCTTTTTCTAAGATCAGCCCAAGGGTGCAAACTCACCATCTCTAAATCTCTGCATACTTCATAATTATTGAGTTTGGGGTTGGAAATAGGGAAATCAGTCATGACCTTGGTAATTAACCCCTCACCTGCTGAGCGGGCCATTCCCACTTTTCTGTGCCATATTGAAAGGAAACAATTTTGGCTGCTCCAAATTTCAACCAACATTGAGGTCCCAAATTTTTATCAATTATTCTTGAAACTACAGTTGGTGGACTGCAACTTGACGTAAAAAAATTCAGGGACCTCCATGTAGGTTGACGCTAGCGCCACCTGAAGTCATAAGCAATGCCATTTCCGACACATGGAAATTGGGTCCTAGTTCCATCCTACATAAAGGTCCCAAACAAATTACAATTGTTTTCCAATCTTTGCATGCCAAACATCAATAATCAGCAATAAAAGTTTTGGGACCTTTGTGCAGGAAGGAGAATAAGGGACCAAATGTGGGGTAGATGGGCATGGTCACCCAACTGCGAGCTACGCCCACTAAAACCCACATGGCCTCCAGGTGGACCTTCGCCAGGATCGGCTTCATCCACATATGAACTAACCCTAACCCTAACCCTTTTCATTCCATGCAGATATTAACCCTTTCATTTGTCATGTTTGAGTATTTATGTCACAGTCTACACTGCTGCTGCTGTCTCTCCCTCTGCTTGGCTACACCCCTTGTACTGCAATTGCTCTCAGCTGACTCTCATTACCCTGCCAGTATTTAATCAGCTCTGTTTCACTCACTCTTTGCCAGATTGTCGTTGCAGCATGCACTACTCTTCAGCCTTTGTCTTCGGTCTGACTTCCTGGAATCGACTCTGCCTGCCTCTCACGAAGTCCTCTTGTTCCTGCCCCGGTAAACCTGATTGCCTTTTGCCCCTGACTCTGAATTCTGGGAGGGGCGTCAGGAGAGAACTTGCGGGATAAGGCATCTGGCTTTTTATTCTGGGAACCAGGGCGATAGGCTAAGGTGAAATTAAATCGGTCAAAAAAAAAAAAAAAAAGACCAGCGGATTGGCGAGAGTTCAATCTCCTAGCAGTACGAAGATACTCCAGGTTCTTATGGTCGGTCCAGACCTGGAACGGCACCTTAGCCCCCTCTAACCAGTAACGCCACTCTTCTAACGCCATCTTTACGGCAAGCAACTCCCGGTTACCAATGTCATACTCTCATTACCCTGCCAGTATTTAATCAGCTCTGTTTCACTCACTCTTTGCCAGATTGTCGTTGCAGCATGCACTACTCTTCAGCCTTTGTCTTCGGTCTGACTTCCTGGAATCGACTCTGCCTGCCTCTCACGAAGTCCTCTTGTTCCTGCCCCGGTAAACCTGATTGCCTTCTGCCCCTGACTCTGAATTCTGCCTGTGTGCTTCCTGGTTCCCGTTTGCCTTCTTCCAAACCCCTGTCCAAGTCACCCATCTTGCTGCTCCACTGCCTGCCTGCGTGGAAATGACCCAGTCTGCCGAGCCTCAAGCCAGCCTACTCCGGTGGCCCAGTGATACGGCTCCCGTCTGCTGTGTGGGCGACCCAGGTTTGAATCCCGGCATCAGCACCTGCTCCCTCGAGTTCCCGGAAGAGCTCTACTCAAAATCCGCAAGCTCCAGATCCTGTTCTGCACCAAGTTACTCTGCTCTGCATTCTGTTTATCCCTGCTTTGAATTCATTAAAAGTCAGAAAAGATACACTTGTTTTGATTGTGTTGCATTTGGGTCCTGCCACTCCCCGTGTCAGTACAGTCTAGTCAGTTATGGACCCAGCACACAATCCTTCTCGCCTGATCCAACTCGAGAAGATTGAAGCCGCCCTCCAACACCATGAGGCAATGATGTCAGCTGTTGCCTCGGACACCAGGTAATCCCAGCTGCATTAGCCAACCTAAGCAGCTGACATCCATGGTGGCTCAGCCTGCTGCCCCTCCTGCACCTGTACCATCTCCTGATCCCTTGCTACCCATTGGGGCCCCAGAACCTTGAGTGGGAACCCCTGAGCGCTACGATGGAGACCCAGATACCTGTGGCCCTTTTCTGAGAAACTGTTCCCTGCTCTTCTCCTTCTAGCCCCATACCTTCACCTCAGAGCAGGCAAAGATGGCCTTCACGATTAATCACCTGACGGCCCGGGCTCGCCTGTGGGGCACCGCTGAGTGGGAGAGACAGTCTCCAGCCAGTGTCTCCTTCCAGTCCTTCGCCGAGGAGTTACGTACGTAAGGTCTTCAGCTTGGGGGTCTCCATCTCCGAGGCTGCTCAGGGGCCACTGAGCCTAAAACAAGGGAACAGGCCGGTTGCGGACTGCTCCATCGGCTTCCGCACCAGAGCCATCCGGAGCCGCTGGAACTCTGCAGCCCAGGTGGACGCTTTCCTCCATGGACTGGCTGATTACCTCAAGGATGAGCTGGTCTCGTACGAGGTTCCCTCCACACTTGACGGAATCGTCGAGCTAGCCATTAGAATTGACCTCCGCATCCAGGCCCGTAGGTGGGAGAGAAGTCAGGGGACCTCCCACTGCTAGACGCCAGCCCAATCCAGAGCGGGTTCCACCCGATCATTCACCTCGCTGATTCCGCAGATAGAGGAATCTCAATGTGTGCAGCTGGGCCGCACCCCTCTTACCCCAGAAAAACGGGAGTGTCGACGATGCCTGAACCTGTGCCTGTACTGTGGGAAGGGGGTCACTTCGTTTCAGTCTGCCTGGTGAAAGCTAAGGCTCACCCGTAGCCATGGAGGTACGGGTGAGCTCGACTACACAACCTCCCTACAACCACAGACTGCATCTCCAAGCCCGGCTCCTCCTTCCTGATGGTCCCCTCACCTTGGCTGCCCTAGTGGACTCTGGTGCCGATGCTAGCCTTATGAGTGAGAAGTTGGCCCAACAGTTGGGGTTCGGTCGGGTTCCTCTGCCTCGTCCGGTTCTCGCCCGGGCTCCAGACAACCACCAACTGGGTACCATTACCCACCAGATTACCCCGGTTCCCATGCTCCTGTCTGACAATCATCACAAGACCATCCAGTTCCACATTCTGAACTTTCCTGGCCTGCTACTCATCCTGGGCTATCCTTGGCTTCAGCGACATAACCCCCACATCGACTGGAAGACTGGTTCCGTCCACAAGTGGGGAACATCCTGCCACCTCACCTGCCTCAAGCATGCCTCTTCGCCATTCCACTGTCCCACCACCAGTCCTTCACCTGATGTCTCCGGGGTGCCTTCCGAATACCACGACCTCCGGCAAGTTTTCAGCAAGGCCAAGGCCACCTCTCTGCCCCCGCATCGGCCCTACGACTGTGCCATAGACCTGCCCCGCACCTCGCCCCCTAGAGGCCGCCTGTACTCTCTGTCTGCCCTTGAAAGGAAGGCCATGGAGACTTACATCAACGACTCCCTAGCTGCAGGCATCATCCGCCCCTCCTCGTCTCCTGCTGGGGCGGGCTTCTTCTTTGTGGAGAAGAAGGATAAGACCTCAAGACCCTGCATTGACTATCAGGGCCTGAACAAAATCACAGTCAAGAACCGCTATCCCCTGCCACTCATCTCTTCTGCCTTTGAACTGCTTCAGGGGGCCACTATCTTCACCAAGCTTGATCTCCGTAATGCCTATCATCTGGTCCGCATCAGAGAGGGGGACAAATGGAAGATGGCATTCAACAACCCTGCAGGGTACTACGAGTACCGGGTCATGCTTTTTGGTCTCACTAATGCTCCTGCCGTCTTCCAAGCCCTGGTAAACGATGTGCTCAACATGCTCAACCGCTTTGTCTTCGTTTACTTGGACGATATCCTTATCTTCTCAAAGACCAGAAAAGAGCATGTTCATCATGTCCAGTCTGTGCTCCAGCGCCTCCTGGAGAACTCCCTGTTTGTCAAGGCAGAGAAATGCGAATTCCATGCCTCCTATGTTTCGTTTCTGGGGCACATCATGGCTACGGGAAGCATCCGGATGGACCCAGTGAAGGTCTCTGCAGTCACCTCTTGACCTGTTCCTGACTCCTGCAAACAACTGCAATGCTTCCTGGGGTTTGCCAATTTCTATTGCCGCTTCATTCGCAACTACAGTTCTGTAGCTGGCTCTCTCACTGCCCTCACCAGCTCCAAGGTGCCCTTCCAGTGGTCCCCTGCTGCTGACGAGGCCTTTCAGACCCTGAAAACCAGATTCACCTCTGCGCCCATCCTCCAGATGCCAGACCCAGATCGCCAGTTCATGGTGGAGGTGGACACCTCGGATGTGGGGGTAGGGACTGTCCTGTCCCAAAGATCCACCTCTGACCAGAAGCTTCACCCCTGCGCCTTCTTCTCTCGGCACCTGTCTTCTGCCGAGAGTAACTACTACATCAGGAACAGGGAGCTGTTGGTGGTGAAACTGGCTCTGGAGGAGTGGCGGCATTGGTTGGAGGGCGCCAAGGAATCCGTCTTAGTATGGACTGACCACAAGAACCATGGACTGACCACAAGAACATCCGCACTGCCAAGAGGCTGAACTCCCGCCAGGTGTGCTGGTCCCTCTTCTTCACCCGCTTCAACTTCACTCTCTCCTACCGCTCGGGGTCCCGCAATGCCAAGCCCGATGCCCTGTCCCGGCAGTTCCTGAAGGGGGAAGATTCCACTGAGGGGCTTGCTTCTATCCTTCCCTCCCCTTGTGCTGTCACCAGCCCGCACCTCTTTCCGGCCTGATCTCCCTGTGGGGGATTCTCCTACTGAGGAGCCATCGATCGACATGGACTCTGACCACTTGGGCTCCGGTGACGATCCTGTTGAGGAGCTATCGATCGACATGCACTCTGACCACTCGGGCTCCCCTGACGATCCAGCTGAGGAGATGGACTGGTCCAGCTCAGAGGAATTTTAGACCGAGATAAATAAACTTAGATATTTTATTGTTTTTTTGGAAAATATGCACTCAATTTGAATTTGGTGCCTGCAACACATTTCTAAAAAGTTGGCACAGGGGCATATTTACCACAGTGTTGCATTATGTCTTCTTCATTCAACATTCGGTAAGCGTTTGGGAACAAAGGAGACCAACTGATGTAGTTCTGAAAGCAAAATGTTTTCCCAGTCTTGCTATATGTAGGATTTCAACTACTCAATACTTTGCAGTCTCCTTTGTCATATTTTTCGTTTCATAATGTGACAAATATTGTCAGTGGGTAACAGGTCTGGACTGCAGGTAGATCACTTTAGCACCCCGACTCTTTTACTACAGAGCCATGTTGCTATAATATGTGCAGAGTATGGTGTTTGACATGCTGTTGCTTCCCTTAAGAGAGGCATCTGGGTTTTTTTTTTTTAATTTAACCTTTATTTAAGCAGGCAAGACAGATTAAGATCAAGTTCTTATTTACAACTGCAGCCCGGCCTGGATGGCAGTAAATGTTGCACCAAAACCTGAATATACCATTCATCATTAATGTTGTCCTCACGGATGCGCGAGTTATCCATGCCATGTGTACTAAGGCACCCCCATACTATGGATGCTGGCTTTAAAAATGTTGCTGATAACAAGCCGGATGGCCCATCTCCTCCTTAGCCCTGTAGACATACGTGGCATCCATGATTTCCAAAAATAATTTCACATTTTGATCAGTCAGACCACAGGGCAGTTTTACACTTTGCTTCAGTGCATTTTAAATGAGATCAGACCCAAAGAAGAAGGCAGTGTTTCTGGATCTTGTTTATAAGTTATATGGTTTAATCTCTACATGGCAGAGTTTTAACTTGTACGATATGTGGATGCAGTGACAAACTGTGTTTACTGACAATGGTTTACAGAAGTGTGCATGCAATGATTTCCACTACAAAATCCTGTTTGTTTTTAATAAAGTCCCGCCTGAGGAACTCAAAATCACAGCCATACAAAATTGGATTTTGCGTACAGAGATTTTTCTGAATTCTCGGAATCTTTTAATGATATTATGCACCACAGACATTAAAAAAACATTACTCTTAAATATATTAAATATTATGTATATATAAAACTATGTAAATTTTTATCTACATATATATAAATATATATATACACACACATACATACATACATACACACACTGAACAAAAATATAAACGCCCCATGTGAAATATTGATGCCACATGGAGTTATCAACTCTAAGTGAGCATATGCTGACTTTTACTTGTACAATAGGGATATTTCTCTTGATTTCTGTACCATTTTTTAATCCATCTCTCTGTCAGTGAGCATTTGCTCAGTGATGCAGTGATTTCACTCAGTGCATGGGTGTGGCATTTCCAGACGGTGATCAGACAGAATGAGCAGTACCCAGACACTCCTTATACTGGGGACAATAAAAGGCCACCCCAAAATTTCAAATTTTGTCAAAAGCCATCATGCCTCAGATGTCTCAGGTCATGCGGGAAAGCGCCATTGGCATGCTGGATGCAGGGATGTCCACCAGAGCGGTCTGCATGCAGTTCCTTGAAGCAGAGCACATTCCAGCTCTGGACTGGCCTGCGTATTCGCCGGACATGTCGCCCATAGAGCATCTTTGGGATGTTCTGGATCGACGTGTCCGCGACCGTGTTCCAGTTCCGGATAATGTGCGC